GGGGGGGGCGGGGAGCCATATACAAATATTTAAATTCTACTGCAGACGTGTGATATCAGCCTTAGATATTCTCTGTACGTTCGCACTGCGGCGGACAATCGGCGTTCTTTATAATCAGAGTGCGGCTGTCATCTTTCTGGAGTGCGGGATCCAATGACAGGCGTCAGCTGGTTGCTATGGGTGATGACACCGGGCCCCCGGGGGGAGGGAGGTCACGGGCGGCTCACCTTGGCCGGAGAACGCTGTTTTCGCTTCTTCTTTTTCTGAAGATCCACCGGCTCCGGAAGCTGCATGCCGCCCGTCAGGCGGGAATCCACGTCTTCCGTGAACTTGATCTCTTGCTTCACGTGAACCTGTGTGGGGGAGGGGGGGAGGTACAGAGTCATATTATAGGGGGCCCATTAAAAGGTCAGCTCAGCACAACCACAGCTACGCACAATCCAAAACTGACAGAAGCAGCATATGTGAATGGTGACATGTCGCCCCCCTAGGCTGTGACGTTTCCATTCAGTCTTGCACAGTTGTACCGGCTCCTCCCCTCTTCCTCTGATGTCACTGCACACTGGGAGCTCCTCACAATGTGCATTAGGAGCTGCAGCAAGTCAGATAAGGCTCCGCCTCATGTCCTGGAAGGAGGACGTCCAGCATCATCTATTACTTTCCTCCCCAGCCTGACCGTCCCTGGCCCCGCCCCCTTTCATTCATTGGATTTCAGTTCTGTCAATCATGAAGTCTCAGCGTCACATGTGGGCGTTACCTACGATGATATGCATGCAAAAGCTTGGCTAGGAACACCTACTTCTCCAGCCACACCCACCCGTCAAGGTATTTCAATATTTGCATAACTCCTCCCAAGAGCCCGCCCACTGCCTGCGTCAGGACTGAGGGCTCTTGAGAGGAGTACCTCTCCCGCCATCAATGATCTGCTTGCAGTGCATAGAGAAGCGCAGACACCCAGATGACATCACTGGGTACACAATAGGGGTCTGTAATGCAAAGGTTTTATTCTGTATTATGTTAATGAGGGGAGGGGGAGGGGAACCAGGGAAAGCAAAATATAAGCAGATTAAAATTTAGGCTAAAGAGCAACAATGAAAACCACAAGATGTCCCACGCCAAGGGGACATAGGCTGTCCCCAGAGCCCATAGTAGACTGGCCCTTAGATGACCATGGTGGGGGGCACTTGGGATATAGGCGGTCTATGTACAATGGTTGGTGGTAGACTGGCCCTTAGATGACCATGGTGGGGGGCACTTGGGATACAGACGGTCTATGTAGAATGGTTGGTGGTAGACTGGCCCTTCGTTGTCCATGGTGGAGGGCACTTGGGATATAGGCGGTCTATGTAGAATGAGTTTTGGCTGACGGACCCTTAGAAGGCTATGTAGAATGGGTTTTGGCTGATGGACCCTTAGAAGGCTATGTAGAATGGGTTTTGGCTGACGGACCCTTAGAAGGCTATGGTGATGGGCTCTGGGGACACAGGCTGTCTATGTAGAATGGGTTTTGGCTGACGGAGCCTTAGAAGGCTATGGTGATGGGCTCTGGGCACACAAGTTGGCTATGTAGAATGGGTTTTGGCTGACGGACCCTTAGAAGGCTATGGTGATGGGCTCTGGGGACATAGGCTGTCCCCAGAGCCCATAGTAGACTGGCCCTTAGATGACCATGGTGGGGGGCACTTGGGATATAGGCGGTCTATGTACAATGGTTGGTGGTAGACTGGCCCTTAGATGACCTTGGTGGGGGGGCACTTGGGATATAGACGGTCTATGTAGAATGGTTGGTGGTAGACTGGCCCTTAGATGACCATGGTGGGGGGCACTTGGGATATAGACGGTCTATGCACAATGGTTGGTGGTAGACTGGCCCTTAGTTGTCCATGGTGGAGGGCACTTGGGATATAGGCGGTCTATGTACAATGGTTGGTGGTAGACTGGCCCTTAGATGACCGTGGTGGGGGGGCACTTGGGATATAGGCGGTCTATGTACAATGGTTGGTGGTAGACTGGCCCTTAGATGACCATGGTGGGGGGCACTTGGGATACAGATGGTCTATGTAGAATGGTTGGTGGTAGACTGGCCCTTCGATGACCATGGTGGGGGGCACTTGGGATACAGATGGTCTATGTAGAATGGTTGGTGGTAGACTGGCCCTTAGTTGTCCATGGTGGAGGGCACTTGGGATACAGACGGTCTATGTAGAATGGTTGGTGGTAGACTGGCCCTTAGATGACCATGGTGGGGGGCACTTGGGATACAGACGGGCTATGTAGAATGGGTTTTGGCTGACGGAGCCTTAGAAGGATATGGTGATGGGCTCTGGGCACACAGGCTGGCTATATAGAATGGGTTTTGGCTGACGGACCCTTAGAAGGCTATGGTGATGGGCTCTGGGCACATAGGCTGGCTATGTAGAATGGGTTTTGGTTGACGGAGCCTTAGAAGCCTATGGTGATGGGCTCTGGGCACACAGACCATCTAGAATGTAGAATGACCTGGTAGAATGGTTTTCGATTGATGGACTAAGTAGCCCATGGTGATGGGATCTTCAGACACAGGCAGTCTATGTAAAATTGTTTGTTTGATGGACCCTTAGAAGGCAACGGTGATTGGTTTTGGGGACATAGGCGGCTTATAAATAATGTTTTTTGCTTGAAGGACCCTTAGAAGTTCATGGTTGTGGACTCTTGGGACAAAAGCAGTCTATATAGAATGATTTCCAGATGATTGAGCCTTAGAAGCCCGTGGTGATGGACTTTTGGGATGGAGATGTCTATGTAGAATGGTTTTGGCCTGACAGACCCTTAGATGTCCATGGTAATGGTCTTTAGGGACATAGACCGTGTATGTGGAATGTTTTTTAGTTGACAGACCGTTAGACGTTCACGGTGATGGACTCTTCAGACACAAGTGATCTATGTAGAATGGTTTCTGGATGGCAGAGCCTTAGAAGGCTATGGTGATGGGCTTTTATTGAGACACGGGCTGTCTATGTAGAACGGTTTTTGGTTGATGGACCTATAGAAGGCTATGGTGATGGGTTCTGGGGACACAGGCCATCTAGAATGTCGAATATAGCATGACTATATTCTCTGGAGGAACACTCACCCATTACATCTTCATTTCCCAGTGAGCACCGGGCACCTGGAGGACGTTCTCTACTCACAGAACACAGACCCCCACAATCTGCATGCCTGTGAGCAGCCTGTGTGTGACTGACTTAGCCAGGCACTCCTGAATGTCCTGGGGGAGGGTTCCCTCCCCTGAATCAGGCAGTCTGCGTAATCTGATCTCTCCTGCTACTCAAACCTCATCACCACATCTGCGGAATGAGTCGGGAAAGCTGCAGCTCGAAGGTCGCCATCTGCTGGCCGCAAATGGGAAACGCAAAATACGAATATTCAGCCAAATTATAACAAAAAGACATACAAATAAATAATTTAAGAAACACGACACAGAGACATTCCTTCTAAAGAATAACTCCGCCCACTCCCAGCTATGAGATTAGGGGGCGGAGTTGTGGTTAGGGGGTAGAGCTGTAGTTAGGGGGCAGAGCTGTAGTTAGGGGGTGGAGTTGTAATTAGGGGGCAGAGTTGTAGTTAGGGGGGGCAGAGTTGTAGTTAGGGGGCGGAGTCATGTTTCCCTTCATATTTGAATACCCGGCAGTGCAGATACAAGGTCCAATGGCAGAGAAGACTATGCGGCAGAAGCCCCGCCCATGGGTTAATTGTTAGCACTGGGCGGAGTTATCCCTTAAAGAAACAGTACATTTATGAAGCTTACTAATTGATAACTATGGAGCAATTCCGAGCGGCGGCTGACCGTGTACTGGAAGGCGGGGGGCAGCAGCCTCTCCTCCTCCTCGTCATTCTTCACCGTCTCCTCCTGCACCATCAGCTCGTCCTGTGACATCATATCCCCGCGTCCCTGGGCCACGCCGAGGGTGGAGCTCGTCTGTGACAGCGGGGTGCAGGACCGCTCAGCTTCCCCCGGCCTGGAAGGATGCAGGATGGCGGCGTGCCCACATTTAAGGAACCCTTCCAGGGTGCTGTCAATGTTCATAATTCATGTGGAGACCTGCTTCGTGTTGGAGCACTATGGGGGTATATCCTAGTTTTGGGGCTATTGTGTATGTGAGGGTGCTGTGTGGTGTATGTGGGGCGGTGTAGGAGGTAAATACCCTGGTAGGGGTATTATCGGGTTCGGGGGAGCAGAAAAAGTCCCCCTCGGGGGGTTTCTCACCCTCCTCCCCCCTCTCCCGGGATCAGCCGCTTCTTCCTCCCCCACCGGAACCGGAGACAGAGCGGCCGGGCGCGGGGAATGCCGGGAGGAGGGGCGGGGCTGGAAGGGGAGGAGCCGGACGGTGACGTCATCCGCTGTGACAGCTGCTGATGCTGAACTCCGCCAAACCGGAGAGGAGAGAACGGAATAACGACGTGTGGAACCTCCGCCCACTTCCTGTCACACCACACAGCGTGTCCCCGGCACAGGAAGTGGCGGGGGAGGAATCGTCTATAGGGGGCACCTGAGCCTCCTAACTTCCACCCACCATAGACCACCAGAGTTCTGTTTTACAAACCTCCATAGTGGGCAATTACCATCCCCCTCGCCTATCATGAGGACCCCCGAACATATTGACCTAGCTTAGTATCACCCACCTTCAGCGGGTGATGGCACCCGCTGTGCCCATTATGAGGGGCTCCCCCCATCCCTGTGCTGAGTTCCCGGGTCTGTACACCCGCTGTGCCCATTATGAGGGGCCCCCACCATCCCTGTGCTGAGTTCCCGGGTCTGTACCCCGCTGTGCCCATTATGAGGAGCTCCCACCATCCCTGTGCTGAGTTCCCGGGTCTGTACACCCGCTGTGCCCATTATGAGGAGCTCCCCCCATCCCTGTGCTGAGTTCCGGGTCTGTACACCCGCTGTGCCCATTATGAGGAGCTCCCCCCATCCCTGTGCTGAGTTCCCGGGTCTGTACACCCGCTGTGCCCATTATGAGGGGCTCTACAGGGGCCAACAAACACCCCTCTCCTTGGAACATGGGGACCCCGCTTCCTGCTGAAGAGGATTTGTCCGAGGGGTCAGCAGACTTGGAAGTTCCGGAGTTGCAGGAGGCCGGGGCGCTTGGTTTGGGTGTCACCTTGGAGTTGAAATGGATTTCGTGGAACTCCCAATGAGCCCCTCTCCAGCCTGAGCCTTGGATTTATTTGGGGGAGAAGGGGGGTGCTTCTGCCACCTTTAGTATCTCTGATGATGTTGTGCAGAGTACATACAAGGAGACATTGGGGGGGTTATCAACACTGGAGAAGTTGCCTGTAGCAACCAATCAGCTTCTGTCTTTTATTTTCAAAGCTTAACTGAACAAAATTGAAGACAAAATCTGGTTACTATGTGCAACTTCTACAGCTTTAAATTACCCCCCCCCCCCCTTGAAGGGCCTCCGGGAGACAACGGTCCTT